GGTCCGAACCCCGGTCCCGCGCCAGGCCCCAACCCCGGCCCGCAGCCTGGTCCTGGTCCATACAGCCCCCAACCTGGTCCTGGTCCGCAGCCTGGCCCTCAACCGGGTCCGCAGCCGGGTCCTCAGCCTGGTCCTGGTCCGCAGCCTGGCCCTCAGCCTGGTCCGCAGCCTGGCCCTCAACCGGGTCCGCAGCCGGGTCCGCAGCCGGGTCCTCAGCCTGGTCCGCAGCCGGGTCCTCAGCCTGGCCCAGCCCCTGGTCCCGGACCAGCACCATACAACCCCAACGAATGGCAGCGCAATCTCCGTCAAAACTAGATCCGTGCTGTCCTATAACTGTTCTATATCAATTTTATGTCATACTCTACACAATGTCCGATTCCATAAACTGCAGCTTCTATTGAAAGCTCTGTTCGCCCTCATATTGGCTTGTAAAGACTGTGCTTTCCTAAATATGCCGAATGCAGGCGCTACGAAGGGGCACGTGGCCAATCAGCCGCAGCATCCAAAATATCTAGATCTCTCTGGCTGGCAGATCGATTATTATGGTTTGCTTATTCGAGGTGCAACCAGAACGCAGCGCCGGGCCCGTGGCTGGAAAAGACCAGCTCCGCCGACGTCTCTTGCGCCCACACGAGCGTCATGGGCGCAACGCGCATGCACTCGAGGCCGTTGATTGTGAGCTCGCCGCCATCGACCTATTATAATAAGGGGTCTGCATCAGCCACGATACAGAAGCACGTCGATTGCATTACCGAGAAGAGCCCGAGGAACCGAGCACCCATCGCGTAGAGGCTGTGCGTCGCTTTGGCGTTGGTCACGACCATGCTGCCGCCGTCGGCTTCGCGGAACATGACGTTGAAGTCGCGGACAGCGCCGCCGAGAAGCGAGCACGCAGGCGCCAGCGCGCCATCGAATTCGTAGAGTTTGTCGCCAACGCGAATGTCCATGTCCTCAAAGAGGCGGACGCCGTCGCCCGAGAGGACCGTGAACCACCGGCGGATCCCGTCGAAGTGCGAGAAAGGCCCGTCCTGCGTCACGTCAGCAATCGAGATACGGAGGGCCCAGTCATCGGCGCCTTGCGGCCACGCCACGAGCTGCCGCGTCTCGCCACCGCCGTTCTTCCACGGCGTCGGCGCGACGGCGTCGAAAGTCACGGTCTGCCACTCGGTCATCTTGGAAAGTGCGTGACGCTCGCAGCGTATCCGGATCCGAAACGCTTTTTTTCAAAATAGTGTGCAACGGGTAAGACTAATTGTGTATACTCGAAATATGCATAGAACGTACAACGCCGCGTGGGATGACTGACATGGTAAGCTGCTCAACTCTCGAGAGAGGTCGATACGTAGGTCGTACATAAAGGTATCGTGGAATTCGACAGCCTCGGAGATGGTATATGGATGGTTTATAGAGAGCTTGGTGACGTTGTGACAGCACCGGACCACAGTAATTTCTGTTTCAGCAAGGTCGGACTCATGAAATGGTGTGCAAAAGTGGCGACTGACTGACCGACCCTTCGCGATATGTGTCAAAGGTAGTGGTGCGGCGAGGCGACGAGACGGATGCACCAAGTTGCTCTACAAGCTTCGGGAGGATGCTTGCCGAACGCACCTCGTATGTTAAAAGTCACCTCGCGCCTGAGCCAATGCGAAAGGTTTTCCGAGCGGCCGTCGAGAAGCGCACGCAGAAGACCTCGCGGAGGGCCACAAGGAAACTCGACTACGCCGTGGCACAATGTGTTTCCAAGTCGTATACGTGCTTCCTCAAAACGTTTTGATGCACAGGTCGGCGCATGAAGACATGAGGCATCGTGCGCGGCTCAAGCCGTCTCTCGCGACGCCACGTCATCCGATGACGTGGCGCGCTGCTGGCATCGGAGATATCTCAACCGCGTCATCGAAGTAAACATCGAGAACGCTTGGATCCAAGACGGCAACGAGCGACGCCCCCTCGGAAACGACGCGCTCCTGGAGACGCGGAGCAATCTTCCATTGGACGAACGTACCGGTACATTGGTTGGCTCGAAGAAGACAACGATGGGTCGAACTAAAAACATTGAAGCTGTGTCCTACGGTGTTCGTAGCAAGCGCCCTACACGGTGCTGGATCTGTCCCACATGTAGCAGCGTCCCAGCCGTCCATTTCTTCTCCCAGCCTTGCACATCTCGATTCCGAGGCTGGTGCCATGTGGAAACGCTGACGGCCTTGCATCACATAGGACAAAGCCATCTCGTTGGTGGCACCCAGTCCTTTCAACTCAGATTCAAACTCTCACCTTGCAATCTGGTCGCTTCAACAATTTGACAAATGTGGGAGGACCTCACACATCGCCACGGTGATGATCCAGCCACATCGAATTGTCCTCGCTGTTACATTGCTCGTCGCCACATCCCGCCCACATCGTCAAGCCACCCGAGATCGTAGTACCACAATCGAGCGCATCCCTCCGTATAAGAAAGATGCTGTTGGAACCAAAACGAGCTGGGCTCTCGGATGTGATGCGCTGCGACATCACCCAGCTGCACGACAACAAGAGTCCGAGCTCGTGCCCACGAAGAGACGTAGAGGCTGGCGCTGTGAGTACACTCAGCTCGCAGTTGCGGCGGCCTGCTGATAGGAGGCATGTACTGTGCAGGTGACACTGCTGTGTTCAATTCGGACAAATCCGAAAACAAAGAAGTGCACTGTACATCGCGCTGGTTGTCCCATGTTGCCACCCATTACTTCCTCACGCAACCCACGACGCCGAGCTTCCGCCCGCCATTGCGGCGACGAGCCGATCCTCATTCGTCGCTCTCGTAAAGCCATCCATTCCTAGTACTATTCTAACTCGTGTCCATGAAAAGAGCGATAAATAATATTACATAACCAACGGCGACGCGACAACTTAGGATGCTACGTGGTGAAACTTGACAATAATCGCCGACACATTGTCGGTCGAGCCGAGGCGAAGGGCGTGCTGCAGCATGTCTTCGCACGTCTTTTGGACGCCTTGCAGCGAGAGGCGCGGGCGGACGTACGCGACGAGCTCGTCCGGCGTCATGACGTCAAAGAGGCCGTCACAACCGAGCACGACAAACTCGTCGGCGGGCGAGAGCGGGCGCTGGATGACGTGCGGCGCGCCGCCGACAAGGTCGCCGTTGAACTTGGCCTTGAACGTCCCGCGCGATGTCTTGAAGTCGTTGTCGCCAAACGCGCGGGAGACGCCGAGGACGCCAAAGATGCGTCCGTTCACGACCGTGCCCTTGGCCGCCACGATGCGCGCAATCTCCGACGCCTCGGTGGGCCGGTGCGAGAGGCAGAGGTCGAGTGCGTGCCCGTCGTTCGTGCACAGAATGGCCTGCGAGTCACCGAGCGACGCGACGGCAAGAACGTCGTCCTTGACCGTGAGGCAGATGGCGGTCGAGCCGTGCTCGACGTTGGCCTCGTAGATGGCATTGTCCGTGTAGAGCATGGCCTCTTCGAGCTGCGACGCGAGCGTCGGCTGCGGCCGCTGCGTCAAGTGGGTAAAGAACGTCGTGTGGAGGTTCTCGGCCAAGTACTCGGAGACTTTCGTGCCGCCGTGGCCGTCAAAGACGCCAAAGAACCCGACGGTGCTGTCGTGGATGGTCTCGGTTGCGGCAATGTGTCGGTCTTCGTTGACGGCGCGCTGGCCCTTCAGCGACGCGGCGCCATAGACAAGGTTCAAGCCCGCTTCAATCGTGTCGCGGGATGAGTCGAGCATGTCGCCGTGCATTAGCGATGGCGAGTGGAGCGCCGACGAGCTGCTTGTCGGCGTCGAGTGCAAGCTGTTGCTGGGCGTCGCGGCGTCGAGCACCATGCCTTGTTCGCCAAAGATGCTCATGACGTCCCGGTGCTTCTTGGGCACATGCGACGTCGGGCGCTTCACGCTAGCATGCGACGTCGGGATCACAGAGACATGCGGCGTGTGGTCGCGCACGCGAAGCGCGTTGTAAAACTGTTGCAGGTCCGGGTCGTCCGACACGGGCAGGTGGTTCGGGTTGCAGCTCAAGGGCGAGCGCGACGCGCGCCGTGGCCGCGTCGGCTCGTACACGTCGGGATGCGCCGAGCTGGACATGGTGGCCGAGTCGATGTTGGTCGTAGAGGTCGTAGAGGTGCTGGAAGGCGTGCAGCCCATGAAGATGGAGCGGGCGCGGAACGTCACGGTGGCACTCGTGGTCGAGGTTTCGAAAATTCCGAAATGAAGCGACGGGCAGGTCCGTCAACCGAACATTATAGCCAATCCCAGCGCAGCCCTAATCACTGTCCTAATTAGGACATCCCGCCGTGAGCAACCTTTGCAAATATTAGAACCCGCGCGGTTTTTCTGCCGATGTGATGCAATATATCTCACAAACGAACGCTTTCTTCTTGTACTAATACCTGGGACTGCTGCATGCCAGTGTACGACGACGACGTCCGAGTCAACCTTTGGAAACGGTTGAATAAAATGGGAGGATCGGTGCGTTGAGTTCGCTGGCTATTTCATTCCGCGAGTACCCACGATAAGAGAGATTGTTTGCAAGTTCAAGAAGGCCCGCGACCACCCGGCGACGCGTGCAGGTGCTGTAGCTAGATACCTCTGTAGCTCGTCGCGCGCGCGCAAAATGGTGGGAAGATCAAGCGTTGTTTCTGCGCGAGGTCAGAACAAGGCAGAACGAGGCAGTGCTTGCCATAGCATTACAAAACACAAAACGCGCTGGTACTGGAAGCTGCATACACTGCATTGTATGCACCAACCCTTGGACGACGACGACGTCATGTAGGAGCCTGGCCACCAGCCTCTACGCATGTAATACATGGTATGTAGTACACGGTACTACAATAAGGACGCGCGATCCAAAGCGCTGCTTCTACTGCGACGCTGCGACAAGGCGCAGGGCGCCACACAGTGTACGATGCTAGTCAAACAATACACTGTATGACTCCTCGAATGGCGCGACACCGAGCATTCTTATGGTGCTGCAAAGACACTTCAACGTCCGAAATGGCCTCAAACCAGGCCACCGCCGGTGCCGCTTTTCAACCAATCATATGCGGCCATGTCGCGACATGCGCCTGCGATTGGTGGAAAAGGCGCTGAATTTTGGCGCACCGCGACACGCAGCTATATATTTTCAGATTTTCAGATTTTCAGATCGATCAGATGAGCAGATGTGGATTGACCAGCAACAGAGACTGTCGAACGCGTTGGCTCGCTTTTGCTGAGCGACGACGACGACCACGCGAAGCTGCGATGTGTCCTATTTTCCATTCCTTGGTTGAAGTTGCCGCCGAGCTTCTCTATTTTAGATCACACGACGTCTGGTTCTTCCTCCAGATGGCAGCACGACTAGTCAACCGACGAGATTTTTTGGCCGGCAATCCTGCGCACTAATGCTTGAAGATGCGGTCGACGGATCGTGCGAGGTCCATATCACCGACGCAATGCACAACTTGTCTATGGTCTGAAATAGGATTACTGCCGGTTGGAGGCGCGCACAAATTTGAAACTCAACGCACGTCTGTCTCGCGTACCAGATTCCAACGCCTGGACCCGACGTCTTTATATCCCAGCCGCTTGAACCTCAACGTACAATGCCACAAGTGCACGCAACCGCAACCATCCGAGAGCGACGATGGTCATCGTCATGCGCGATGGACCACTCTCGTGACGACACCAGCTTCTTCTTCATCTTCCTGGGATCGGCTTATGTACTCGAAACAAAGCTATCCAATACTAGTAGACGCCGCATACTACCTGGTACTACTCGAGGTCCTGTGTTGGGTGCGTTGGCGATTCAGCGGTTCCGGTTGACATTTTGTTAGCTCAGGGTTTAGCTACTTAGCTTGTCCCCCGCACCATCCCGAATATCACGACTTCTATCGCTCCTCGCTTGACGCCCACGCCTTACGAGCGCATGAGGAAGGCCACCATATCTTTATCATTGCATGTAATCACTCCGTTCAACAACAAACAGGTTTAGCTGCAGGTTTCGAGACTAGAGGACCCCATACATTCGGCCAACATTGGGAATGCAACTGCTGACATCCGACCTCTCTGGCATGACTGCATACGTGCCGGCACCGATGGCGACCACGCAAACGAGAGACGAGATGGTCGTATTGTCTTCCTTTACTTTTTGGCCCGCTTGGTGGCGGGGGCCTTGGCACCCGCGCCGCCCTTGGCTTTGCGTCCACGCGCCGTGGGCGTCACGCGTTCGGGTTTTTCGGGAATCGAAGCCGCGAATTCGAGCGCAAACGCGTGGTTCCAGCCACCAAAGAGCTTCTTGATCGTCGGCAGCTTGGGGACTTTGGTCGGCGTCGCGTCCTTCTCGGATGTCTCGCCGCGCCCGAGCTGGCCGCGGTCGTTCTTGCCCCACGTAAAGACGTCGCCGGCCGCGTTCAAGGCCATCGAATGGTTCTCGCCTAATCTTTCCATCGTGAGCGACGGTTGATACATTGATACAAGATTGGCAGACCGCACACCAGGCTCGTCCACGCCTGCCCCGCGAGCGACGGAATCTCGGTTGGCTGCGACAGAATGCGCAGCTTTTCATTCTCACTGTTGTCGTCCATGCTGTCGGTACCCAGCTGCCCGAATTCGTTGTTGCCCATGCCAAGCACGCGCTGGTCGGCGGTCACGAGCAGCGTGTGGTTGCCGCCGCACGCGACAAGCTTGATCGTCGTTGCCAGCAGCGCCTACTCGAGGAGCATCAATATATGCTGTCCGAGCGCGCTACAGCAGGTGACCTACCTCGACGGCAAACGGGCGTGGCACGCGAAACTGCTGGCGAAAGAAGCGCGACTGGCCCGGCGGCGGCGGCGGCTTGGCGTGGCCCAGCTGCCCGTACTCGCCATAGCCCCACGTCCAGAGGCCCGGTGTGCTAGATATTGCATTTCTATCGTGCGGCGACTTGAGAATGCAACGTACTTTTTCAAAACGATTGCGCCGTGCGCGTTGCCAAGCGAGAGCTGCGCAATGTCACGGCCCAAGTTGAACGACGTCGGGATCTCGGGTGTCCATGGTTGCTTCTGTACAACAATGGATAAGGCATTTGGTGGCAGGTAGTACATGCAAGTACACTACCTCGGTCGTCGCGGGTCCCTTGGGGTTGAGGTACTGCGGGACCCACTGGTTCTTGGCCGAGCCGTCCGCAAGCTGGCCATTGGCGTTGCCACCCATCGACATGAAGACGCCGGGCAGTTCACGATGAAAGTAGTCGTCTTCTTTTGCGACGCCCGACGTCATGACGACAAAGTCCGTGCCGCAGCGTGCTAGCACAGGCGGTTCAAACGACGCGAGCAGCGATACTAGTATGTGCGTACCCAAGACGGCCGGGATCTCCTTCTCGCGAAGCGCCGAGATCTTCTTGGGGATCTTCTTGCTCTTGCTTTCTTGGTGGCCGAGCTGCCCGAGCTCGCCGTTGCCCCACGAGTACACGTGGCCGTGCTTGGTGACGATGAGCGCAAAGTCCTTGCCGCAGTGGACGCTCTCGAGGCTAGTGTCGAAATGAGTGGTCGTCGTGCGTTGGGCATATTGTCTCACCGGCCTTCGACCGCGGGACGCTTCTCGTCTTCGAGCACTTCAATCTACCGAGGCCATCCCGCTTCGTGGCGAAGGATGCGATGATGCAGCATGTACATACCTTGCGGAACGCGACGAGCTTTTCGTGCACGACGTCGTTGTGGCCGAGCTGGCCGCTGACGCCCGTGCCCACCGAGTATGCGTCGCCTTCGTTCGCGAGCACAACGGTAAAGTTTTCGCCGCACGCGACGTCGCGCACCGAGAGGCCGGCGAGGCCGGGGACCAGCGTCGGCGTCGCCTGCAGGAGCAGGTCGGCGTCGCCAAGGCCAAGCTGCCCGTCTTCGTTGTCGCCCCATGCAAAGATGCGCGAGAGCGGCTTGCCCTTGGGCGCGGGGATGTGGCCGGCGCAGAACTTGCAGAACCAGTCGCCGTCCGGGACAGCAAACTTCTTGTTGAAGTTGTTGCGCGGCTTTTCCTGGCAGCAGACGCAGCCATGGTGGCAAAAGGTGTGGAAGGGCGCGTCGCAGCCATCGCAGAGCACGAGGAACTCTTCGTCGTCGGTCTTGCCGCAGACGCGGCAGGGCGCGTCCTCGTCCATGCTGCTGCGGCTACCTCCTGCTTGCTGCCGCCCAATACAAACTGGGGCCGAAACGGACCCGGCTTTACGACCGGATACCATCCGGATGACACCGGCGCGACCTGGCCACGCGATGCGATAAGGATGTAGTACGCAGTCGTAGAGTCGTGCAAGCAATGACGGTGCTGCGTGCTATATAGATCGTTAGTACCATGTATCCTCTAGGCAAATGGTCTTCTTGCATTCCCTACGCATCTCGCTGTCAATGGAATGACCGCTGTACCACTGGACCTCATTCCACGCCAGGACGCAGTACTCCGTAGTGTTCAAGTCACTGTTGTACGAGTGTTGATAGAGTCTCAATTGGGACGGAAAGCGCAAGGCTGCTCGCAATCAGGCCTAGCGCTTGTGGCGAGGAGCGTGGGATGAAGACCAGGTAGAGAAGAAGGCTCGGGATCTCTCTCAGACTCTCGAACGAGCGCAAATCGCACATCTGGCATATACCTCAACCTACTAGAATGTCGCCATCACAAGCCTCCGCTCAATAAATGATCTGTCTCGAAATGCGCGCGGAAAACCGACTTGGGGCGCGTACTCGCAGCTCCGGCTGCCACGTATGCCAGGTTAGCATCCGGATATGAAGCATACAAACCGAGAGATCTGCGGCGCGTGCATCCGGACACCTCGACGGTGACCACCGGATCTTGACCCGCTTGGGTCTTTGTAGTTGACGGCATTTGGAGGATGTTGAGCGAGCTCTCCGGGATCATTGCAATATGGGTCCTTCTGCTCGCCAACGGGACGACATTGATCGGCTTGTGGCTTCTGTTGTGTGAATCCGCTCGCGCACAAGGCGCTTGTTCGATCGAATGATCCTTTTGTGGTAACTTGTACTTGCTCTAGTTTTGGATTGGTTGGTCAACCTTCCTGCACGTTTCTTGTCTGCAAGAGTGTGCCATCGGTAAGGCTTCTTTGCGTCTCACGTCATAGGCTGCAAGGCTAATCCGTCCTTGAGCCCGCCATGCTACACGACTTTGCACTCAAGCCGGCAACGAGGCTTCTTCTCTTCTGAGAGGCGGCTCGCCTCGCAGTCTCTCACAGTGAGAGACGTACTACCACCAAGCCAAGTCGCACCCGGGAGACGTTCCTCCGCAGGTTCTTCAATCTAATAGTCTCGACACCGCACTGATCTGCGACTGGGTCATTGGAGCTAGTACGCTTCATAGACTACTTGGCGTACTTCATCTAATGTCCTCATGTCCGTTGAGTTCCTGGCGCTAACCAACGATGGCAGTCGAAGATCTGGCAATTCTAGAAGATTCAGGCCAGAATATTGGGTCCCTAGTGTGGGGACCCCTCCATTTCACGTCAAACCGAGTGTACGGCATTTTTAGATCTATGGGTCCTTGGCTGGCACTTCGCACAACACAAGCATCATGTACAATATAGCTTTATTGACAATATAGATTGTGGTCCAAGGACTCGCGTCCTTCTTCATCCAGATCGATCAAAGCACGCTTGACCGTCCTGTCGTTTTTATGGTACCCCTCTTTCCCTTGATGGTACCCCGTCCTACCTCCCGCTGAAGTACGGTCGCGGTTCCACCCAATCCGTGGTCATCATTTGATTCGTGTGAAGCCAAGGACGACGATAAGGATGATGCTGCCTGCTGCTGCGCGTCGCGCCGCCCCGCGCCTCATGGGCCTCAAGCACGGACTGCCGACGATGCACCTGCTGCCCGCGATGCACTTTCACAGCTCGACGCCGATGCGGAAGCGCGACTTTTACGAGGTCCTCGGCGTCGCGTCGGGCGCGTCCAAGAACGAGATCAAGAAAAAGTACTACGAGCTCGCCAAGAAGTTCCACCCGGATACGAACAAGGACGACCCAAACGCGGCCAAGAAGTTCGCCGAGGCCACCGAGGCCTGGGAGGTCCTCGGCGACGACGACAAGCGCCAAAAGTACGATACGTTTGGCCACGCGGGCGTTGACCCGAACGCCGGTGGCGGCGACGGCTTCCATGGCGGCGGCTTTGAAGACATCTTTGCGTCCATGTTTGGCCACCAGGCAGGCGGTCGCCGCAGCGGTCGTCCGCAGCCGCAACGCGGCGCCGACGTCCAAGTCAACTGCCACGTCTCGTTCATGGAGGCGGTCAATGGTACCACGCGCGATCTCAACCTCAACACAGACGTGACCTGCGAACCGTGCGACGGCAGCGGCGCCAAGCCCGGTACGAGCAAGCGCAAGTGCAAGAGCTGCGGCGGCTCGGGTGTCGAGATCCTCCAGCAAGGCTTCTTTGCCGTCGAGCAGCCCTGCCGTCGGTGCCGAGGCGAAGGTACAATTGCCACCGTTTACGACCGACTTGTCTCACAGCGTTGTTAAAGGCTTTATCATCGAGACCCCGTGCACGAGCTGCCGCGGCCGTGGCAAGGTCAAGAAGGCGCGCACGGTCGAAGTCAAGATCCCAGAGGGCGTCGACAATGGCATGAACCTGCGCCTCGCGCACCAGGGCGAAGCCGGCAGCAAGGGTCCGCATATTCCTGCGACGATGGAACCTCACACGCGCGCGTAGGCGGTCCGTCGGGCCATCTCTACGTCTCGATCTCGGTGGCGAGCGACCCGTTCTTCAAGCGCAACAAGACCGACGTGCACTGCGAGGTGCCCATCTCGGTCGCCCAGGCCATCCTCGGCGGCTCAATCGTCGTGCCCACGTTGACGGGCCAGGTCGAAATGACGGTACGCTCGATGCATGGGCGTGGCCTCATTTTACACATGCGCAGATCCCCAAGGGGACGCAGTCGGGCACGACGCTCAAGATGCGCGGCAAGGGCATCAAGGAGCTCAACTCGTCGCGCCGCGGGTCGCAGCTCGTGACGATGAACGTGCACATCCCCGACACCCTCTCTGCGCGCCAGAAGGAGCTCATGGAAGAGTTTGCCAAGGAAGAGCAGCTGCGTAGCGAAGCCGGCGAGTCGTCGTGCAAGACGCACACGTTTGCCGAGACGGTGCAAAAGACAGTCGATCGCATCAAGGCGTTCCTCAAGCCCAAGGACGACGACGAGAAGGCGTGAGGCGGCGGCTGCAGCAGATCATCATCGTATACTGTATGCATGTTAACATAGACCGATTACAAGAGAAAGATGTCGTCTTTCGGGCGCTCAAAGATGCGCGTCTTCTTGCCCGGCATGTCGAGGAGCTCGTGGATCTTGGCCGTGCACTGCTTGAAGTCTTCGCTCTTCTCCCATGCCTCGTAATCACGACGGCTTCGCCACTACATACATGGACGACGTGGCCTCAGCGCAATGGCATGACGACGCCTTCGCAGCGTACCTCGGACATGACGATGTACTTGTGGTGGTCGTCCGTGTCGCTCATGGTCTCGACCGAAATGAGCCCGGGCTGCCGACGCACCGTCGCCTTGACCTACGCGCTTGCATGAGGCCTCGCTGTCGCTGCCTTCGCCGAGGGCGTACGCGCTCCATCATGCGGTGGACCGTCGGCTCGAAGCCGCGGCTCATGATGCGCTCCGTGAGCACGCGGACGGGACCTGAGGCGACCATGCTACGTGGGGCTGCTGAGGCAAAAGCTGTTCTGGCGACCGCCGGTATCTTCCACGGAATTATCCGGATGGATCAGTTGATTGCCGAAACCCGCCTCTCTACATCCGCAGGCCACGGCAGCGCAAGCGGGTCCGACGTCAGCCTGGCTGCCTGATAAACGCATGGAGTACGCTTCTCCGACGAGTGTCGCATCCATTCTGCTGGCGCGCCTCGTTGGGGCTCCAGGGAGCAGGCGCGATGGCCTTCGTCGGCAATAAAATGGTCTAGTTGAAGTTGGTGCGATTGCGCAATCCTCTTGGAAGGGCCGGCTCCTGCTGCGTGCCACGACACACTGCGGGTTGTCGGTTGATGGTTTTGAGAGGAAGAACGAGTAGAAGTAGTAGGTAGGTATAAACACGGAGAGGTGTGAGCCCTGCAGAGCCATGCGCGAGGCGGTAGCATGTAGTGCTCGCTTGGAAGACGCTTGGAGACTGCATGGTAGAACTAGGCTAGCTCTAGTACGATGGCGGGCAGTGAAGCGCCTAGAAGCTGTGTCGATCTTCTCACCGCCAAGGCTTCTGCGCGTGAGTGAACACTGGCGCGCCGTGCGTTCTGTCAACAACGGCAGTGGCAAAGTCCGTCAAAGCAAGGATGATTGTAGCTGGTGATTGTAGTTGGAGTGCAGCCTTGCTCAATTCGATTGTATCTGGTTGCCGCTGGGATGCAAAGTTCTGGTCGCTTGCCAGTCTCAGAACCCAACGCACACAAACGTCTCTTGGATTCGACAAACCGTTCGCCGACAATAGAGGGTCGTCACCTTGCCATTTCTCGCTGCCAATGGATATGGCACGTGGTCACGGTCGATGCCCATGTCAACCAAGGACCCTCGCTCACAGCACCACCCTTGCTCTTTATTAAAAGCGCTCTCGTGCTGCCACGTACTTGCGCAAGAGTGATGGTGTCTCATAGGCTGATCCGAAGCTATGCCTGCCGCGCACCATACCATGAACAGCTCGGGACTCGTACGCTGCGGTTTCTACCGTTCATTTGCCTCGAAAGTTGTGCGATACCGATGCACATGTACTAGTATACGTCGCGTGGACGGCCACATCACTGCGGGTCCAGATTCACGTTCCAGATTTCAGATTCCAGATTCCGAGGTTGTGCGACCGTGGTTGTACCAGGTGCGCTTAAAAGAGAGCGCATCTAAAGCCAGTGGCTTCAACGTCGGGACGTGCACAGCTGAGGCCCAACGCGACACGCGGCTGCCATCCATCAGAAAGCGAGGGCCGGAACGCATTTGGCCGGAACGTGTCAATGAACTTACGAGCCAACTCTGGGCAGGATCCGTGCACCTCCACCCATGCTACGTAGCTCTTGCATGCATCATCACATTCGTGAAGGTCGAGGCGGCTGCTAATAGTGCGGTCGACGCGACCAGTTGCAACGCCGACAAGAGCACGTGTAATACATAAGTTAGAGCTGCTACGACGACTACCGGCTGCGCATGCTCGGGAGGATGCGGATCGGCGCCGACGCGACCGGGTCGTGCTGTATCCGCGACGCGTCCGCGATCGCAAGCGTCAGTGCGGTGACCCACGCCTTGCAGGCCGTCGCGGATGGGCAGCGGAAGTGGACGCTTGCGCCATGTTCCGACGTCAGCTGAAGCGCGCGGCCGCCTGGCATGCGACAGACGACCGTGGCCGGCGTGAGCACAAAGTGCCGAGTGCGCGCGGCTGCGATGGGTTCGAAGCAGGGTGTCACAGGCACCCACGCGACGCGGCCGCCTTCCAGAACAACGCGCACTTCGGTCGCCGATGCCCACCAGGCCGTGGCGGGCAGGACGAGGATCCCCGTCTTCGCGGCCACGGGTGCGGCCATGGATGGAACCAGCTGCACCTCCTAGCGCGTCGATATGAGTGCCCGATGGCACGTTTGGCGATTGAATCGTACCCGTGGTTCACTGCGCGGGCACAGCATGCTCGGGTAGATGGCCGCGTGGAGTGTCATTTTGGTGGTTGGCTTGGAGGCCGGCAGCCCAGCATGGTCGTCGAGCGCGCTGAGGTTGTACAGACAGCCCGTCTTGCGCGAGAGGCGGAGCGGGCGCAGCACGGGCGATGGCAGCGGAGACCGCGTGAGGAGGAGCCGCTCCTTGAGCTCGCCGCGCGCCTCGAGGTAGCTGTCGCGTGTCGGCGTGAGCGCGACAAAGTGGCCCCACTCGCCGTGCCCGCTGTAGCTCATCTTGATTCGCAAACGAAATCTGCCGTCTCAAGCCCTCCACGTCGCGACGTGACCAACGCTCGGCGGAGGCCAGTCGCGAGATGCGGCGCGTCGGCGATTGGCTCCGATTCAAAGCTTGAAGCGGCCAACTTCAAGTTGGGTCGACCATACAAATTCAGAGATAAATTCACCGCCGAAACCTCAAGCCGCGCCACGTGTGTCGAAAAACGGGGCCACCCTCTCGTTTGTGAGGGCCTGGTCCTTGTTTTTTGACGGTCGAAAGCAGCTTCAAGTGATAGTATGGGCCAGGGGGGTACCCTTAAAAGTCTCAGTGGATGCGTGCAGTGTAGCAACCATGCTGCCGACGGCGTCTCGCAGCGACACAACCTGCGATTGTAGCAACCATCGGTCCTGCAACCTTGGCGTGAAATGCGCCGCCACGACCGCCATTGCGATGCGGACGACAACGGCCTGTCTAAAGGATGCGCCCCAAAAAGGATGTGCTTGCGGGAATTGAAGTGGTGGCCTTCGTGTAGCAGGTCGTGTAGCTCGCTTGCCAAGACAACGAACGCGCACCTGCCAAGGGCACCTGCTAGGGGCACGTAGGGCTGCGCACGCCACTGCATTTTAGCTACTCGCACGTTTCGAAGATCGTTGAGTGTATCGAACAACGGTCGGAGATGACAAGCTACTCGTTCGACGACGTTGAAATGGAGGGTGCAATCTGGCAGAACACCCCGCCTGCTCGATATTTTTAGCTACTTCTTGCATGGCTGGTCTCGCAACGTCGCCGCGCTCGGCGCTTTTTCTGGCGGTGACCATCTTGGCCAGACGAGGAGAGCACTCATCCGCAGGATATAGACGCATCGAACCGGCTACGCCAATGTGTTGGCGTCGTACAAAGCCCACGTGCTCGGCCAGAGTCTGAGCTGGCCGCAGCTCGAGCAACTCACTGTTCTCGTCCACGACACCGCGTCGCAGCTGCCGGTCGAGGCCAAACTCGACCAGTGGATTCAAGACCAAGAAGGTGCATATATCGGACGCTCATTGCAGCATGCATACAGGACTTTTTATGTAGAGGCGATGGAGGATCGGCTGGAGCAAGACGACCGCTTTGTACCACCCCCGTCGTTTGAAGAGGTCCAGCTCATGAAGCAGTGGCTCGCAATCCCGCGGCTCAACTATGACCAAGTCCGGTCGGTCGCGACGGCATTGCGGCAGCCTGCAATTGAAGCGTATGCGACGGCAAGCGTCTTTCTACAGTTTCCACAGGATGCCTACGGCAGACTCAATGGTCTCGCTTGGGTGAACGTGGTCCGTGCGAGCTCGCTGGCGCTCCGTGCCCACGCCCTTCTCTCGTGCGACATGCATGTTTCAAAGTATCAACAAACAAACGTTGGCAGTAGCGCCTACGACACGTCGCACAAAGGGGTGTTGTTAGAAAACAATATTGTCGATCTCGTCACGGACTGGGCCGCCAGCGTGCCGTGGCGCACGCCTCTCGAGGTACTAGTAGCCATGGAATTCTCGTGCTTATACGGGAAAATAGGAGACTTTTCGGTCGTACTTCGTGCTGATCGTCGCGCGACGGCTCTGGCTCGCGTTGGCGCCGCACCTTACGGGTTTGTTTGCATCCCATACATTGGCGTTTGATTTCCATATATTGATTGCCGTGTGTCCTCACGGAAATTTAGGAAAAATCGTGATTGAGCGGGCGCGGCAACATCCCTACTGCCACGCACTGGTCGACTTGCAGAATAGCGAGTACCACAGCTCGAACGAGTATGGTGCCAACCCACTGACCCTCGAGGCCGCGACCAAGCTGCACCGTCAGTACCTTCAGTTGGACACGGACAAGAACGGGCTGCTCTCCAAATCCGAATTTCTCAACTATGGTTCTTATTGAGTTCTGATTTGTTTGCATCACGAATTGAAGTAGGCCGAAAAAAGGCGTTTGTGAGCAACGACGCGTCACGCCCGACCCACGAGCTCACGCGCCAGTTTGTCGACCGCGTCTTCGAGGTCGTCCGCACGTACGACGGCGAGCTGGTGCGTGTTGTTTGAAAGAAACTCTGTCGGCGTCCAAATAATGTCATGTCTAGGACTATAAATCATTTCTGGACCTCAACTTGCGCATCCAAGACAATGCGTCCAAAGGCGCACTGCAGGTAGAATGGACAACGCCATGTATCGACGGGGCAATGGGAGCGTAGATGTACTGGCGCATCCTCGATGTGCACGATCATGGCTACGTTGACGGCTCTCTCGTCGAGTATTTTCTCCAAGGCATCGCGACCAAGGTGGTGGCTGCTACGGGTTCGGCCCTCGACTCACGCGTGCTTCGGGTATTGTTTGACTTTGATGGATTTACAAATGGTTTAGTCTGACATGTAGAGCGAGCTCTTTGACATGATCCAACCCAAGAATCCGATGCACATCACACTCGACGACATTCAATCGAGTCCATACGGCCACACCTTTGTGCGGTAAGACCGGGTCGCAGTCCGTAGTTGTTGATGGCACGTTTCATAGAGTCTTGACCGACTACGAAGGGTACTTGAGTTACGAACGCCACGCCAAATGAGCAAGACATCGCAACTGATGTTCATGTCACCAAGGCGTTCAAAACTCTCTACTAGAGAGTTGAGGGTAGAGAGTCTCTACCCTCATTTTGTCGTTTTACCGACGGCTTTGAGGTGACAGAGACCACCGCCGACGAAGACAAGTCCAGTCAGCATCGCCAGCGTCCCAAACGATTGGAGGGAGTCACCCCGTTGAAGCTGCGTCGCGTGGTCGCCGTAGTAAAGAGCGTGATGAGAGCCCACAAGTGCGGGATCGTTCAGCGGTACCATCGCCCATGCGAGCATCGGATCGCCCTTTGCACCGCAACGAGGCACGGACTCGAGCAGCCATACACCCGAAACCACCGCGTTTTCGGCAATCGCAGTCTCGACCGTCCGATGCCAAGCGGTGGTGGCCGTCCCGTCGTGTTCATATGTCGTGTTGGTCGTCGCGAAGTCACAGTTGCAACGCAGGAGGTCCAAGTGACCAGCGTCAGTCAGGAGGACGCGGTGACCGCTTGCTGTGACAATGACCAGTTCGTGGGCGCCGTGCAGGGTCAAGTTGGCGTCCATTTCGATGCTCTTGGTGATATGGCCCGAGAAGTGCACGTACATTAGTGCACCTGGCGTCTCGGGCTGAAGCGGCAACGACGCGATCGATGGAATCGTCTGCAGCGCGTCGCACTCGCGAACCAATTGCGCGCGTTGGGAGCAGAGCGTGTGGCCATTGTAGGCAATCTGTACGCCGAGGTAGATGAACGTCAGGGGCGCAGCCACGTGGAGTGCGCTCAAGGCGTCTGGGACCATGTCAACGTAGTAAAATGAAGAGTGAATTTTGTCAGCGTTGATGAACCGCATGCCGTGGTATCGAGACCACCGGCATTTCGCATCGGGACGCAACCACATCCACCAGATAGTAGAAGAAAAACGATGTCGACAACTCATACCTGAGGGCAACTTTGCCGACCTCGCCTTCGCCGACCCGTTGCTCCCTCGGATCCGGCGCCTGCTTACGTCGAAGGCAGTGCCCGACCGGTTCAAGTTCATGCTCAAGTACTGGTTCGACATTCGCGTGGGGCCGAGCACGCTACCGGCGCCGTCGCCGCTGGTCCACGAACAACCGCTTTGGTCCAACCAGTTTCTCCCAGTAGATAGCTGTAGTTACATAGAAAAG